ACCTCAATTTTAATGATGCGATGCAAGTGCTTTGTTTGCGCAAAAAAACAAAAACATAACCACTTTATATACAAAATATTAATCTCCAAACTGCATTTGCGAGAGTACCATGACGTATGCATGTTAATGCGAGAGCAGACATTAATGACTCACACAAAATAACCGATACTGTCCATGAAAAAAGATTCATGAAGTAGCTCCCTATAATAAGACAGCTGAGCTTGTTTGTCTTTCACAAGTTTTAACAGTTAAAGGGTTAGTTCACCCAAAAATTAAAATTATGTCATTAATGACTCGCCCTCATGTCGTCCCAAGCCCGTAAGACCTCCGTTTATCTTCGGAACACAGTTTAAGATATTTTAGATTCAGTTTTCTGTCCCTCCATTGAAAATGTATCGGTATACTGTACTTGTCCAGAAAGGAAATAGAGACTTCATTAAAGTAGTCCATGTGACATCAGTGGGTTAGTTAGAATGTTTTGAAGCATCGAAAATACATTTTGGTCCAAAAATAACAAAAACTACGACTTTATTCAGCATTGTATTGTCTTCCGGTTCTGTTGTGGATCCGCGTTCAGTGCCGCTGCTGACGTAAGACGCTGCTGACGTGTGTCTGGTGCGCCCGAGCTTCGTTTACAGTCTGAGGGAGACGCACGCTGTAAACAAAACCATCTTCGCAAACATGTCTAAGGATTTCGACACAGAGGAAGACTTGCAATTTTTTGCCCAGCCATGTTTATTTGAACCCGAATACACGGACGCACCAGACACACGTCAGCAGCGTCTTACGTCAGCGGCGTCACTGCGGACTCGTGAACGTGAATCCACAACAGAACCGGAAGAGAATACAATGCTGAATAAAGTCGTAGTTTTTGTTATTATTGGACCAAAATGTATTTTCGATGCTTCAAAACATTCTAACTAACCCACTGATGTCACATGGACTACTTGATGATGTCTTTATTTCCTTTCTGGACAAGGACAGTATACCGTACATACATTTACAATGGAGAGACAGAAAGCTCTCGGACTAAATCTAAAATATCGTAAACTGTGTTCCGAAGATGAACGGAGGTCTTACGGGCTTGGGACGACATGAGGGTGAGTCATTAATGACATAATTTTCATTTTTGGGTGAATAAACCCTTTAAGGGGGCCGTTGTAGAGAAACGTTTCCTGAAAAAGACCTAACAGTGAATTCAAAACCCCCTCCTGAGGTACACAGACCCCTGGATGGGAATCACTGAGCTGGAGCATTATAGTCAAATTATATCTGTTTTATACTGTAGTTTATTTCAGTTTGACAGTCTGACTAATGGAAAATAACTGCTACTTTAAAAGCAATGATGAGAGAACGCTTTTCATTGAGCAAAACAGCACATGAAATATTAAAAATCATCAACTAAATGTCTTTCGACCTCAAGCAAACATGCACAAACTTTAGAGGCTTATTAATTTCTAAACTTTCTCCCACTACAGCAGAAAACATTCTTCAAAAAGGTTATTTGGCGAACAGTTTAGAACGAAAACTTGCTGAAAGCCTCTTAAGAACACAGCATGTTTGTTTGGATGAAGGCATCTATCTGAGATGAGGTTGATTTCTAGTGTCTTCCCCTTGAAAAGATGCTTCAGTCAATGCATAGAGAATACCAATGCAGTCCATTATAGCCTGTGCCCTTTTACATTCTCCATTATTACAGTAGTTTTATGGAAATATCATTACTTTCTAATTAGAACAGGGATATAAATCAGTGCGAGCTACTTAGTTTAAAATTATTTAAGGTTTCTCTGTAATGATCAATGTAGAGCCCAAAGGCTTAATTAAAACAAGCATTTAAATATACAGTATTCCCACATCCAATAAAACCTTCCAAGGCCTCAAAAATATCAAGGACAAATTGGAAATCAGCGCTCCCAATATACATGTATCTTGCATATAAACATATTTATTTAGCATAAGTGCTTGTCATTGCTTTTCTGCAAGTAGATACAGTATGGTGTTTTTTTAAGAAGTATATCTATAAAAGTCAGACTGTTAACCAGAAGGTTGCGGGTTCGATTCTCAATACCTGCAGGAAATGGCTGAGGTGCCCTTGAGCAAGACACCTAAACCCCAATCACTCCCCGGGCGCCACAGCAAAATGGCTACCCACTGCTCTGGGTGTGTGTGTGTTTACTACTCACTACTCCTATGTGTGTGTGTACTAACTTGAATGGGTTAAATACAGAGGACAGATTAGGAGTATGGGTTACCATACTTGGCCTTCCCGTCATGTCACTGTCACTGTATTCGCCTGTTGAATGAAGGCCAGCGCTGCACGAGGCATGTGGCCACCCCTGAACCGCTGACCTGTGTTAAAGGGCTGTAATTGTCTTTTTACTGTGGCCAGTAAATCTTTGAGTGCCCTCATCGTGCCATCACAACATTCAGCCGATGGTTGTTGCCTAGCAACCTGCGTTGAGAGCAAACACTTCTTTCTTTATTTAATAATTTAGCTTTTGTCACTGATGTGCACTGCAACAAAGTGCGTTTAGACGGATGGGCTGTTTTGTCTGAAAATTCTCCATGTTCAGAAAATATCTGCATAATCATGATGGAGGGTGTGTGTATAAAGGCCAATTCACACCGCACAGACAAACGGCATTTAGAATTTTATGAAAAATTACTGTCATATACACACTGCCCCAACAGACACCAACAAACACTGATTGAACATGTCGGGTGAAAACAAAACCTGACCCAAGTCAACAGACACCGACAGAGGTAACACACTGATCCAACAAAACCCAACAAACGTGTTTGTTTGCATTTGTCTGTCCAGTGTGAATTGACCTTAAAGGAAATGTCTCGGAAATAGCAACCAAAATCATTAATTACATTCACATTTTTGCAAGCCAACCCTGCAAAATCTTGCTTCTGATGGTTTCTAGCTGATCCAAACGAATTATTTATAGTCAATAGTTGGTCCAAGCTGGTCCAGATTAGTTGACTGGCTGGACTACCAGCTGGTAGGGTCGAAGTCAACCAGGTAGATTATTTTAAGCCCATGACACACCAAACCGACATCAAAGAACTATTGCAGACGAAAGTTGACTTTGTTGTCGTCTCACGTCGCCTGCGTTAGCGGTCAAAAGGTTGCACTTGAACACACCACAAAGACAACAGCCAATGGCCAACTAGCACAGACATTGTGTGCCTGCATGAGAGGAGATAACTGTCTATATCAGCAGGTGGCAGCTCAGCTGTCTGTATTAGTCATTCAAAAAGGGAAACCGAAACTCGGATTGTGGATATTGAACTAAACAAAAAGCTTGCATACCATTTTAAATATAAATCATGTTGGTCAGTTGGTCTTTACTTTCTTCATTCCAGGCGGCCATGTTGTTACGTAAATATTTGCATCTTGGAATGCTCAACATTGTGTGCAATCTTGACTTCATTGTTTGCTTGCTTTCATCATTTTCTCTTTTTTTTCTCGTGCACTGGTTCACTATGTTGAACTCTCGAGGTGTGGTGGTAGGAAGCATAGTTTCTTGTTTGAATGACATGGACTTAATACATCCTTATCATGAGCAAAATAAGCAAGCTAACATTTAGTACAATCTATATCTTTTATTACGAATACATACAGATGTCATTTCTGTCTTTTAGATAGTCAAGAGATTTAAAGCACCGTTTTTGAAGAGTGTGCATGTGCGTACATGCTCTAGTACGTAAAAACGACCCTATGATTGAATCTGGAAGTAAAGCAAAATAACTGATAAAAAAAGAGAATTAGCCCTCAAATACCATGTCCGTAATTTACAGCAAGTCATCTAGCATTAATTCGATCTCAAACAGATTAATTAAAAGAAGTTATTACTCCACCACCTGCGTAACAACATTAACCAATGTGGTTGAACGACAAATTTGCGACAATAAGGTTTCGGGAAACAGTAATGACTAGCTAGTTGATTTCTTCAACGATGCATCGTACTATGGTAGTTAAGCAGCGAGTGACGTTGTTGTATGGAAAACGCACACCAGAAAGATTTCTCTCATTTACTGCCCACACTCTAAAAAAATGCTGGGTTGTTTCAACCCAACTTTGGGTCAAATATGGACTAGCCTAACCGTTGGGTTACATTTTTAAATTACATTTTTAAACCAACATTTGGGTTTGTCCATATTTGACCCAAAGTTGACCCAAACAACCCAGCATTTTTTAGAGTGCAATAACGATTCAACAGGCTCAATTGGACATGCCAACAGGGTGCCTATTGTGCTGACCGTGTAGAACTGTAGAACACTGGCCTAACTTTGGCTTGATGTGTCACAGCCTTTAGATAGGTTGATTTGAACTGGCAGACCACCTTGGACCAGCAACCATATTGCAGAAACCAGCTTAACCTGTTATTTCCCCCAGAAGGGATCTGGATTGCAAATAGTGTTTGAATAAACTCCTTCATGCAATTTAATGAAGGTGAAACATGAATCTTTGCATTTCTAATATGAAACAGCACCCAAATTCAGCTTAAAGTGCTTCATATCACGGCATATCAAATTGTATCATTCCTCCCCTGCTCTGCCAAAAAATGAACAATACACTTCAAATGTGAACACAACAGAATTCAGATGTTACGCCCAAAGCAGTTAGCAGAGCTCCAGAGTGTATCACATGGTATTAGAGCGGGAGGTGAGAGAAGGAAGGTCTCTGCTCCTTTCTGAAGATCCCTGCTGTTGTGTGTGTGTGTATCCAAAGGGAAAAGTCAAGCCATTCTTCAAAGTGTGGGAAAGAGATATGTTGGGGTTTTACAAGTCTTGCATAGATTTTGGTAAGCTCTTGCCGTTTCTGTGTGCAGTATAGGCCTACCTCAGATGGTCTATGGGGGTCCCGTCTCAAGCTCGGATTAGGGTTTAACTGACTATAGGATCAGTCATGTAATGCTACTCAGCATGGTTCCTCTAAGGGTTGGCGTTTAAGAGCTGATCAGAGGTCAGATAGTAAGCTGGACACTAACCTGCAGCCATCTGCATGTATCCTGCCAATGTGCAGATCCTCCTCTCCCAGGCTCCACCGGGCAGGAAGATGGTGATGATGGCCAGCAGGGAGCTGACCGCCAGCAGAGCACATCCACCTGAACACAGCACTGCACTCGTCTGGAACACACACAATGCACAACACTTACAGATACTGCTGCTTTTAGAGGAGTTCAGACTTGATTTGATTCTGTTCCCAATAAATGAGTTAATTTTTGCAGAGAACGGTTTTAAAGAGATACAAAAGGTAGAAAAGATGTCACTGACGCTGTACCCTTTCAAAAGGTACACATTTGTACCAAAGGTGCGCATATTAGTACCTTAAAGGTACTGTACGTATTTGTACCAGAAGTGTACATTAGTGCCTAAATGGTACATATTAGAACTTTTTCCTTTCTTTTATGGACCACAAAAGGAGCTTCTTTTTTTTAAATGTCCAGCTGGCACTCCATATACAGTAATGGCAGTGAATAGCGACCAGCATCAAGCTTTTAGTCAGTATAATAGTCCGTTTTTTATTTAACATTTGTGCATATACTATTTGTTAGTGCAGGCAGCAGGTGATGCCATGCATTTATAAGACTATGGCACAAGACTCAGTACTTAAAGAGCTTGCTGCACAATCCCTAAAACAAAAACATGGAGGGTGCATATCAAAATCAGGCAATTGATCTAACTCTAATGTAATCCGTATAAGCATATGAGGCAACACACTCTGACATCATGCATTATTGATCTGTGCACATATAGATTTGGGTAATAACTGTAACTTAAAGCTTAGATGTTTCTGTTGAACCAGACTTTTACCATTTACCTTACATCTGAAAATCTAAATCATTTCAAAAGATCATACATCATTCAACAAAGTGTTATCATTGCAGTTTTGGAGGTGGGGAAATTCTGGTGCAAACAACGTTAAAAAAAATAGGCTGAATGTATAATATACACATATAAAATGTACGCATGCACATAAAATATAAATATACAAAAATAATACACATACAGTAGTGGCCAAAAGTGATGTCCGGCCAAGGAAAATTGGCATCTTCACCCTTTATTCAAATATTATTAATAATGTGTTAATGATTTTTGTAGGCATATTGCGTAGTTGTGCTTGGAGTCAAGTGTTTATTTGTGATAACGCAATGAAACATGTGTGGACATCATTTTTGGCCAGGCTGTCATACAAAGAAATTATAAGCACATGCAAAAAAAAAAAAAAAAGAGAGAGGACCAACGAAATATTAATAACTGTGTAGTCAATGTATGCTTTTTACTGTGAGCTTTTTGTTTTTGTATGCATTTTGTTTTGTACTGTAACTGTAGTTTTCCTTTTAATGCCAAATCATTTTGTCAGATAAAAATGTTAACCAAGTTAAGTGTTTTGTTCTTCCCTCATTTTTAAAATATTTAAAAAACATAAAATAATTTTCTCATATTCTGATGGTTTCATCAAAGTTGTAGGGTTATGTAGTTGTAGTACCACCCTATGGCTCGAAGTCATGCATTAAATAAAAAGTATTCTAGTATTAATACATTTTTTAAAATTCCATTGCGTAAACTATGGTTATCATAGAAAGTTTTTTTTTTTTTTTATCGACATGAAACAGAAGTTGTCATAGTCTTTTGTACACACAATGTAAAGCTATGTAAAGTGTCGTCTTGAACAAGAGAAAATGTAGGGCAGGACTTGATTTTTTCAATTAGGAATTGAAAAGAGAAGAGAAGAGATGTTGCTACAAGAAGGAGGGGAAGTTATTTTGATTAAAACTCACGAGGGCACAAAAATAAATAAAAAATGTGCATGGATAAATCATTTACAATAGATACTGCAATATTCCATTAAAAAATGTGTATTGTCAATTTTATTTTTTATGGTGGCTTCAAAGGAATGACCATGACGGTCTCCTGCAGAAAACAAAAGCAGTCTTTCTGTAGAGGTGGGTCACAGGTGGATGCTTTTCAGTGAGAAGCATTCAAGATTTCAAACTGAGGTTTTCATTCTGACAGTGTGATGCCTCTTCATTAGATCAGCTTGGGCTTTCAAATACCCCATATTATTTCCACACACAGAACTGCAGTATCAAAAAAATCTGTTAAAAAGCTATCAGCTGATCTCTTGCAAGAGCAATACACATATACATACACAAAATGTATATATTAATACAAATGCACCAACTATAGCGACTTCATTTTCCTTGGCGAAGAACGGAACGCAAATGGAGACGAGATGGCAGATTCATAGGTGATATCTGAAGCATCGCAGTTTTTCTAATGGTAATGATAACATTTGTAGTAATTATGACTGGTTTGTGTTGATGACAACATTACAACATCCTTTACAATAATGAAACGCCTGCACTAGAAAGGGGGAAAAAAATCTAATAACGCAGAAGTGAAACGCCAGACACTCGGCGGAAACATATTTCCTTCAAACTGAACTCATTCCCCTTTAAATGGTATTCATATATTCATAGAAACGTCTAGTTTTCTCAGCGCCATCTCTTGATCTTGCCATCTTTGAAGCCTTTAGATGAAATGAGCTCTTGCCCACTGTGCTGTCAAACATTACCGTGTTTCATTACAACTAATAGAGACATATTAGGGCTGCAACAGATCAGATCCAGAACTAAATGGTACCCTGGAAAATCATAAATAGGCAGTCTATGACAGGAATGTTGATGATGCTCATAAGTTAAACAAGCAGTATGCATATTTCATCTCTAATGTATATAGTGCACGTATGGCTAGGAAACAGAAATGTACTTCCTGAGGTCAATACTAATTAGTGGTGCTTGCCAAGTGCACTGTTACTTTTCAAAGCGATCAAACTTTCGATTTTTCATCTAATGGATGATAATATGGCCAAAATATTTCATTCTCTAATGTTGAAAGAGGGGTCATCATCATTTACAGTTTTTCTGAATTGCTAAAACACTAAACCCCATTCTCTGAACCAAATTCTCAATAGTCTAAACCGATTTGTCGAATAAATCACTCTTTCTGTAAAACATTAAACAAGTTCAGGTACCGGTAGTTAAAACACTGTTTGCAAATCTCATGCACTCTTTTTTCAAAACTCTAAACACATTCTCACTCACTAAAACACATTTTGCACTGTGATGCACTTCTGATTCAAAATGCTAAACACAGGTAGGCGAAAGTTAAATACAACTGCAACACAGTTGTCGTCGTTTGCACACAACGACTCAAAATTGTTTACACTTATTTCTAATGATGTGACCAAACCAACTGTACATTATACAAGTCAGTTCAGAGTCCCACAATTTACTCTAAATATTGCACTGAATGTTGATTGACATTAGCCATGTTTGCATTCACTTGTCAAGCGAATTATCTGAAGTTCGGTAAAAAAACCTCATGCGAATAAAGCTGGTGAAAGTGTGTTTCCATCAAACGGCTTTAAAGCAGATAAAAACCTGTGCGTAATGACGTCACATGCTGTTTTGCGATCAAATTGGTATATTGAATTGATCTGAGACATGTTAAGGTGTTTCCATTCATTTTCTCACCGAATTGCACAACATTCAAGCCAACATTTGCGAACAAAGTTTTACTAGGCAAAATGGATCGCACCATAATAACGTTTCCATCCGCGTTTATCGCATAAGCCGTATATCGATCAAGATAAAATCCGATGAGACCGATCGTATTTCCTTTGAGTCGATATTCATGAAATTCAATCTAATTTTACTGTTTCCATAAGGCATTTTTCATTCGATATCACTTAATGCGGATAAAAACGTGTGGATGGAAACATAGCTAGAGTCTGAGATGTGGAGAAACTCCTCCGGCCGGACCAACATGAAGACGTGATGCTGAAGCAGAATCAATCTCTCTCACTGACCTTAATTTTGCAGTTGCTCTACTCTTCTGGGTGTACTTTACCGTAACATGCTTTTCATTGAGAGTTTTTTTACTGTAACCTTTTTGGCTTTTGCAGTTGGGTCACTGTATTTTCACATTATGCAAGTGGTGAATTTACAGACATTCAATATTCTATCAGTGGATACAGTATACAATTCATTCACCTTACTACTGTAAGTTGTGATTACTACACTTTTGTACATAATTGCAAAATTTGTTTACTTTGTTACAATATAACAGATATATAACAATATAACTTTTTTCTGTAACTACATGCTTTGGATTCTGTGTTCTTCTTTTTTTGATGTAGTGTCTAATGAATGATCTGTAGTGTTTATAATTTTGACTCGCTGTGTGTGTGATCTGAGAGCAATGTTTGATTTTGAGCACAGATAAAATGGTTTTGAGGCAATTGTTTGATTTTGCCAGAAGAGTCAGAGGTTCTGTGAATGTGGTTTGAAAAGTTGGTTTTGTGTTTAAGGTTTTGAGAAAGTGTGTGATGGTTTCAAGAAATGTGTTTTAGCAATTCAAAAAAAAACTGTAATTACCCTCATATTATTGGAAACCTGTATGCCTTACTTTGAAGAATGTTCAGTTTTGGTTACCATTGACTTCCATTGTTTGGACACAAAAACACTCACATTATCTTCTTTTATGTTCCACAGAAGAGAGGGAGTCATACAGGTGGAGGGAGATTATTATCCTGTAGGAGAGGCAGATTCAGGTATATCCCACTTCATATGCGTTTACATGCACGTTCTTAAAGGGATAGTTCATTTCACATAATCTCCCTCATGTTGTTCCAAGCCTGTGTGAGTTTCTTTCTTCTGTTGAACACAAAAGAAGATAAGAGTGAAAAATGTGGGTAACCAAACAGTTGACAGTAGCCACTGACTTCCATAGTATTTTTTTTTTCCTATGGAAGTCAATGGTTAACGTCAACTGTCTGGTTACCAACATTCTTCAAAAGATCTTCTTTTATGTTTAACAGAACAATGAAACTCATACCGGTTTGGAACAACATGAGGGAGATTAAATGATGACAAAATTGAAATTTTTGTGTGAACTATCCCTTTAACCCGATTATGCTTAATAAGCCGAGAATGCATGTAGTCACAGTGTTTTAACCTTTATCGGAGTGAGGTCATGAACAGCTTAAGCATAAACCGATCGACACAGCTAGATTTCTGCCCCTTAACCTGATTTCGCATACAAACACATGAACTTGTTCT